GGGGGGGGGGGGGGGGGGGGGGGGGGGGGGGGGGGTAGAGAACCACCTGAAATCTGCGTTCGCGGCATACAAAGTTACACAAGCTCGCGGCTAGGTAACGGCGCGGGCACGTGAAAGTCCCCAGTTGTTCAAATTGAATCCATAAATCCGATGGCGGCGGCCATATTACGCCCGGGGGAGTAATTCAAAATTCTAATTTCTTTCAGCTGGGTAGCTTCGTCGACGAATGAATAATAATTCACGGCGGCCCTATATAGCGATACATATTTACGAAATCGCGTGACGATCGTCGAACTTCTCGCGGGGAAACGTCTGGCGAAAATTGGCGAGATCGCGAGTTGCGGATTGAACGACTTCTTCGAGTCGAGACGTCTGTTGTATAGTAACTGAGAATCGTAACGTGACGTACAATGTTGTCCGAACGAGACGTTTGAATCTATGATTTTTGAATTGTGATGATTTTTTGCCTAACACGAATGGTATAGAGAAAGATCTGCAACTGGTAAGAATATTTTTTTCAAGGACTTCTCAAGGTCACTGGTGTTTCTTTTCATGTAACTATAAATATATATATATATATATATATATTTATTATATATTTATTTATTTATTATATATATTTATTTAATTATTATATTTATTTATTTATTTATCGTATCGTGTAGCTGGTAAAAAAAAAAAAAAAAAATACGTAAACGTTAAGAGCATAGCCTTGAAAATTCAAGTTTTTACGTATAAATTTGTCTCTGTTATACGATCGTAGGACCTTGGCCAGAAGACGAGACAATCGAGAGCCTTATAACAAACGTAGATAAGGATGTTTATTACAAATAAACGTCAATGATAGTCTCTTTTAGTAGCTTGAAATTCCGTTCAGTGAAATTTGTCAGTAATTTATAATGGAATACTCCAACGGGCAAGAAAAGATACGATATTTATATATAAAAATGATTACTATTTGAAAGAAGTATATAGTCCTTGGCCAAAGTACTTTAGGATGACTGATACCTGACTAATTCTTAATAAACTTTATCGTTGATTTTCCAATCTCTAAAATCATCCGCCAATTTGTCTTCGAGGCCTGACGAGTTATCGAAACATAGGCGTTTAAGCGAAATTAACCGCGAGCAACACGATCGAATGGCGGGACAGGGCGAACAGGTAGAAAATTATTCCTGTGTGACACTTGACACGGGAATAATTTCTTTCCGGGAAACGACAGCCCCGTGTTCGCCGGCATTCGTGCCAGATTCGTGCGACGAAGAGCCATGAAAATTTCAAGCCCGGTGGAGGATCGGGTTGCCGAGTTTCCGGATCGGCTGGCAAGTATTTAAAACCATAGCCATCTTGCCTGCGGGCCAGACGATAAATAACGGAGCAAGTACGCGTCTAGTTTTCTCGACGATTGCCAATTATATTCCTCGGGTTAATCCGTAGCTCGTCGTCGTTGTTCAAGTGTCACTGTCAAGTGAATGGGGCAAAGATCGCGGCGAATCGATGTTTCGATCTGTTGAACTGATCAAGAAATGACTGTATTTTCGTTTTTCTTTTAAATCGGTCGCTGATGTTTCATTGGTCTCTTAATTTCAGCGCCAGTCTTTTCTCTTTTAATATTTATTTAGTATTTATTTAGTATTTCTTTATTTATTTAATATTTATTTAATATTTACTTAGTATTTATTTAATATTTATTTAGTATTTACTTGGTATTTATTTATTTAATATTTATTTAGTATTTACTTAGTATTTATTTATTTAATATTTATTTAGTATTTATTTATTTATTTAATATTTATGTAGTATTTACTTATTTAATATTTATTTAATATTTATTTAGTATTTACTTAGTATTTATTTATTTAATATTGATTTAGTATTTATTTATTTATTTATTTATTTAATATTTATTTAGTATTTATTTATTTAGCATTTACTTATTTAATTTTTATTTAGTATTTATTTATTTAATATCTACTTAGTATTTATTTATTTAATATTTATTTAGTATTTAGTATTTATTTATTTAATATTTATTTAATATTTATTTTTATGTTATATATTTAATATTTTTATGTTATATATTTAATATTTATTAAATGTTATTTTATGTTATAAATATTTATTAAATGTTATTTTATGTTATAAATATCTATTAAATGTTATTAATATTTATTTTTATGTTATAAATGAAAGGCAATTTACTCAGTTGTTAGATAATAGGAGCGCTAGAATAGACGTGTTTTCCTTTTCGTATCTCCGTGTTATTTCGGATGTTAGAAGTACCACGGTATTAGAATACGTACGTCGAGTTCGATCATTCTTGCACGGTTTACGAAAATAGCGATGCTTCGAAACTTTCGCGATAATATTTGCGAATACTACCTTTCTCAACGTTCTATTCGAACGCCTATAAAACTACCGAGGTGATCAGCTAATTCATAATTCTTGTTTGATATATCAATATATATATATGTAAAACAGTGTATTTTCAGAGATTTAAACGATTTTTCGGAAAACACGTAAATAGAAGCTCGTGTACTCTACAGTTATTCGTACTTTACAGTTCTTTTGAATCTTTTTTCTCTTTTTTCTCTTTGATTTACGTCTCTCATGAAAATACTATTCTTTAATTGCTTGCCAGTTCTGGTGTTAATAACGGACGAATAGACGAGCTGATTGGCAAGAATAAATACGCGTGAAGAAGGGACGTTACTAATTAAGACGAACCTTTTATTTATAGGTGGCGATTAGCCTCGTTTCTGCGGAAGAAGGCCGAAGCGGTTGTTGAACGGGATCGACAGATAAGGGATACTTATTTTAACCTGGAGAGCAGCTTCCCACGTAAGTCAATCGACAGTTCGTTCGCATCTTTAGAACGACGTCCTACCTTTTTTCCTTTTTTTTTTTTTGCATCACTTTCTTTGTACTTGGCCTAGTGATCGCTCTCTGGTTGTCATGGTTTTTATTTATAAAAACTGGAACGCTCTGCTCCAAGTAGAAGTGTCTTTCTCTTTCTCTTCTTTTATTTTTTTTCTCCCCTTCGGAATTTGATTTCGAGCGAGTACGCTTGCCATTTCCGTTTTTCCCTTTTTTTTCCCCGAGACGTCTAAAAATTTCAGTAAGCGCGCGCTGCTGCTTTGCGCCGCCGGATCGCGATTTTTTTTTGTGTAAAAAAATCTTTGACTTTCTCGCTTTGATACTCTTTCAATTTGTTATTGATTTCTAAACTCGAAAATGATGGAATTGACGAAATGCAATAACAATTCCAGTTGAAACGATGTTTCTCAAGTAATTTGGTCTTTATTTTTTAAACTCTCCTGACAATTGTGCTTAATTTTTTGTCAATGAATTTTGTTTGGAACGAAAATTAATCAGCACTCGGTCCTTTACGAGGTTTCTGAACAAAAAGTTTCGAAAAGAATTTTGTTTTAACGGGAACCCTCAGGTTTGTTTTTCAAATAGTCATTAAATATTTTATATAATTATATAATATATGTAATATATAAAATATAATTATATAATATATATAATGTATAAAATATAATTATATAATATATATAATGCATAAAATATAATTTTATAGTATATATAATGTACAAAATATAATTGTATAATATACGTAATATATAAAACATAACACATTTTATATATTTTTGACTTCGACAACTGTATCGAAATCCCTACGATTGACCACTGCTCTAATTTTCACACCTGCTCAGAAAAATGTACATACATAAAAATGTACATACGTACAAAATAGACACATTACCACAAAAAAAAAAAAAAAAAAAAAATTAAAAAAGGAAAAGTTCGACAACTTTTCAAAGCTGCAATATTTAGACGTACCATACCATGATTTCCAATCTTGAAATTAATTTCGGCGAAATGTGAAAACGCGCTCTTCGGACCTCCCCCCTCCCCCTCAATCCTGTTACGATGTCACATCGTTTAAAATTCGACGGGAATCAACAATTCCTCACGTGAACAACGCGAACGCGAAAAGAGTGCCGCACATTTGCACGGGCTAATTAACGTAATTAGCGCAAATACGTCGCTCGTGAACGAGCGGCTGTTGCGGTCCACGGTCCACGGTAGCGCTCGTTGCGTCCAATGAATTGTATCTCGAGATACGTCCGGCGGTTTTTGGTATTTGAAGGGATAATGAGATGCAGATCGCGCGCTGTCGTGCACGTTGAATCAATATTTTCGAAACGGGACGGGACGGGGGGGAGGGGAAGGGGAAGGGACAATGCCCGTCGGCGAACAATGATACGCAACAAGTATACCTCCTCCCTCTCCTCCTTTCGCTGTCCAAGTGAACGCATTTAAATAGCCGGATTAATTAATCGGCCGATTGTCCGCGGTGATTAGTCCAAGTCGAAAATGAAACGTCTCGCGGTTTTCGCGGTTTTGTTAGTCTCGCGCGAGGTTTTGATATTCTCGTCGCTTCGAACGACCGGGGACGAATTATTTCCTTCGGGCCTTTTCCATTCCGTGGCGTTCGAGATACCAACACTAGAGAACTCATTTGTCAAGTTTATAATGAATTTATGAAAATATAAATCATTTAATAGAGAAGCAATACGTCCGAAGAAGATGCATTTTGATAAAATATTTGCATATAATTTATTTATATACCAAAGTGGTCGAAGGTGATTAGTTTTGAACTTTCATGTTTGTATTTACAACGGTGTATTTTCCGATGCTCGAGTGATTTTTAATGAAATGTATTAATTAATGGAAGCTTGTGTTCTTCGTTGTATTGTTCAACGTTTTCCCTGTACTTTAATTTCATTTGTTACAAATATCATACCTTTTATTTGGTTTTCGTTGAATTTATTTTCAATTTATCGGTGAAATTGTTATCGTTGAAATTTAATTATCAAGTGTTGCAATAAAGTATTATCGTACGCAGAGAGTTTCTTTGACGCTGGACCTATCAACAAAGGTGTAGAAATTAAAAAAGAAATTAGAATACAAGGAGTAGGAAAAGTTCTTTGCGACGTGTAATAAATTGTTTTGCAAAAATCATTCTGATCTCTGACTCTGAGAAATTATAAATTGGCCGTTTTCACTAGTTTGGTAATTCTAGTGTTAAAACTATATTAGATTTAGTCGAGATAGAAATTTTCGAATTAATTAGCGTATTGTTCCAGTGAGTATAACTACTGGACTCTTTTTTTGTACTAATTTACATGGTATTTATAAAATGCAGCGTGTTTGGTCATTTTCTGACTCTAAGAAACTATGAATCGGCCATTTTTACTAGTCTGGTAATTCTAGTGTCAAAACTACATTAAGTTTAGGTTAGGTTATATCTCGTATGTAATCGAAATAAAAATTTCCCAATTAATTAGCGTACAGTTCCAGTGACTGTAACTATTTGACTCCTTTTTTTGTACTAATTACACAAATAATTATGAAATACAGCGTGTTTGGTCATTTTCTGACTCTAAGAAACTATGACTCGGCCATTTTTACTAGTCTGGTAATTCTAGTGTCAAAACTACATTAAGTTTAGGTTAGGTTATATTTCGTATGTAATCGAAATAAAAATTTCCCAATTAATTAGCGTACAGTTCCAGTGACTGTAACTATTTGACTCTTTTTTTTGTACTAATTACACAAAAATAATTATAAAATGCAGCGTGTTTGGTCATTTTCTGACTCTAAGAAACTATGAATCGGCCATTTTCACTAGTCTGGCAATTCTAGTGTTAAAACTACATTAAGTTTAGGTTAGGTTATATCTTGTATGTAATCGAAATAAAAATTTCCAAATTAATTAGCGTACTGTTTCAGTAACTATTTGACTCTTTTTTTTGTACTAATTACACAAAAATAATTATAAAATACAGCGTGTTTGGTCATTTTCTGACTCTAAGAAACTATAAATCTGCCATTTTTACTAGTCTGGTAATTCTAGTATTAAAACCACATTAAGTTTAGGTTAGGTTATATCTCGTATGTAATCGAAATAAAAATTTCCAAATTAATTAGCGTACTTTTCCAGTGACTGTAACTATTTGACTCTTTTTTTTGTACCAATTACACAAAAATAATTATAAAATACAGCGTGTTTGATCATTTTCTGACTCTAAGAAACTATGAATCGGCCATTTTCACTAGTCTGGTAATTCTAGTGCTAAAACTACATTAGGCTTAAGTTTGGCTACATCGTGTATTTAATCGAGATAGATATTTCCGAATGGTATAGCTTACTTCATTATTTCAGTAATTATAACTGTTGGAATCTTTTTTTTATACTTTACTAATTTACACGGCATTTATAAAATGCAGCGTGTTTGATCATTTTCTGATTCTCAGTGTCGCGTCGTGATCGAACTGGGAGAATTTTAACACAAAAGAAGTTAATTTTCGCGTTAAACGTTTTCTTCGCGGGAAAATTTGGTTAACGAAAAACGCGACAAGTTTTTTTAGGGTTTTTTTTTTTCTTGATGGAAGGAAACGAGCCTGTATTTGTCGCCGTACAATCTCGCCGCGTTACTCGCGCAATAATAATACGATTTTAATCGCGTTTCGCAAACGAAATTATTGCCGGACTATGGATTTCCGAATATTGTAACTGTCGACACGGGGGCGAAGGCGGAGAGAGAGAGGAAACTGGCGATCCGTTCCCATTAACTTCGAAAGCATAATTTCCAATTACGATTAAAGCGCGTTGATACCTCGAAAATCGATTTACAATTACCCTGCGTTTCTTTCGGCAGGGGCCAAAGAAACGCGCGGTTTGAAACGTTTTTTTTTTTCTTTTTTCTCGCGCCTGCTGACGCCGATTAATTTCGAATCGTCGGCAAGCCGCGTTTCGATCTCCGCGTCTAATTGTCGTTAAAAAAAATTTTAACTCCCTTTAAGCGGAAGAAGAATATTAAATAAGTAAATAAATCTCGGGTAAATGAAAAATCTGAAATTTTCGAAAGTTTCAATCGAATGATGATGCAAAAGTATACCTGTGTATCTTTGTACGTCGAAACTACGAATGTTAGTACACCCATTTTGACCATGCTTGCTTTTATTTTAGAATTTAATACATTGAAATACTAAATAAATCAATATATAATTAGATGATATAACACACAGAGTTAGGATATAACAATTATAAATAGTAATATAACAAATATGAAGTATAACAAGTATAATATAACAAATATAAAACTTGATAAAAGAAAACGAAATAAGTGGAATAAATACAAACATACTTTGATTATCAACAGTGGAGACTACTTATTCCTTATCAACTTTAAAAAAAAAAAAAAAGGGAAAAAAGTACTGCTTGATCCCTAAACCGATTTCTCGATCGAGATATCGTCGTGAAAATATCGAACCTCCTCGTATCCTCGTAGATAATAATAATCGCGTTTCATCATAGCGAATAAAGTTATATCTGTTATCTTTCCAAACTTTCCAAACGAAAAAAGTACTCCTTGACTTCTGAATGAAGTCATCTCGCGATCAGGGATACCGTCGTAAAAGAATCGAACCTCGTCTCCGTGTAATAAATATAGCAAGTCGCGTTTCATTATACCGAACGATGTCAAACCGGCTCGTTAATAAGCGTTCTCGATCGCGAACCGAAGGATATTTCAGAAGCTGATTTCAGAAGTGAATTCAGAAGAGTATCGTCGATTATCTCCGCGAGCGTAATTCGTCCTCGCTGAAAAATCGGCCGACGATGCGCCGCTTCAAATTCTTTCCGACGAGCGTTCCATCGTATTGAAAAAAAAAAAAAAAAAAAAAAAAAAAAGAAAAGACCTCGCCCGTTTTCGCAGAAACGTCCCTCTGACTATATTTATTGCATCTCGCGAGATCCTTCCGCGAAA